CTTCCTCCCCCGCGCTTTGAGCACAGGGACACCAGCTCTGTCTCTCCGCCCTGCCCGCGTCTCCAGCTCTCGCCGGCGCTTACTGCATCTGAGTCTGCCCGCTCCCCCTCCACCCTTCAGCACAGGTCTGCCTTGCCCCTGTCCATTCTCCTCGCGGCACCATTGACTGGGGAATTTCCCTGCCCCTGTGCATAATGCCAGGAGCAGAGGTCCTTGGTCCTGCAGCAGTGCCTGGATACGAATCCTCGCAATTGAGAGCAAGTTTGACCGTGAGCCCCTACGCTTCCTTAATAGTTGTATGTGTGCAGATGTTTGCTTGCTAGGTAGTAATTACCTAGCACTTACCGCTGCCTTTTCCTCAGTTCCTCTCAAAACAGGTTTAAGGAAGGGTGGGTAGGAATGGTGTCCCTAACTCTGTCAGAGGCTGGGAATGGGTGACAAGGAAGGACTACCTCAGGGTTACCTGTTCTGTTCATTCCCTCTGGGGCACGGCACCTGGCATTGGCCACTGTCAGAAGACAGGACACTGGGTTAGATAGACCTTTGGTGTGACCCAGTATGGCTTGTTCTTATATTCTTAATTAGAAATGCATTTGTTTGGGTAGGATTGGGAGGGAGTCATCCAAAGCCTCTCTACAGGATTTGAATAATTATTCAAAATTAGTGGGAACTGAGTACAGGCAGTCCCCAACTTACGCGGATCCGACTTATGTCAGATCTTGGGGTTCTTAAGTTGATTCTGTATGTAAGTCAGAACTGGCGGTCAGTTTCAGCAGCGGCTGAATCTGGACGCCAGTTCCGACTTACATACAGATTCAACTTAAGAACAAACCTACAGTCCCTATCTTGTACGTAACCCGGGGACTGCCTGTACTTTCAAAGTGAGCCTCGGAGCTTAAATTCATAATTTAGACAATGAAAATCATCAGCTGAAGAGAGAGACTGAATTTATGGCTTATTATACCCTAACAACTTCACCCTAATGTCTCCTCTCTCACCTTGAAATATATGTTAACTACCTTAGGACTGAAAAGATGCAACTAAAGAAAAAAATATTTAAGTCTCCAGGAACATGGCGAATCAAAATAAGACAAACATTCTAGTCCACCTTACATAGAGCATGTCACAGCAAAATCATAAACTGGTGCAATAAAAGATAAAACTTTACCCTCCCTGTTTCTCTACACCTCCCTAGCACAAGCAAGTTGATAGACATCATTAGTTACATTTTCAATACATGCTCCATCACATTAATTTGCTCAGAGTTTACTCTAGTTTTCAAACAATATGTACACGAGTGGCAGCAGCTCTACTGTTGAGGATGCTGACTGGCAGGCTGAAGGTAAAGCTGGAATTATGCTTTCATTATTGTATTATGTTTTTAAATAAATGTAGCTGAAAGTAACACTGAAAATTGAGCCATTGGCCTTCCCTGGGCCCGGGCTCAACTATCCCTTTTGCCCCCACTCTCATCACCAGGCCTTTAAACACAGGGCTGGCCTTACCATGAGGCAAACTGAGGTGGCTGCCTCAGGTACCAGACTCTGTGTGTGCGTGTGTGTGTGTGCGCGTGCCACGAGGACCCAGAGTGTAGAAAATTGTGTCTGCTGCTGGTACAGCGAGGAGTCATGGGGGCGTCATTTGAGCTCCCCGCCTCAGGTGCCAAAATATTGTGGGCTGGCCCTGTTTAAACACCTACAACTTACTGTCAACAAGAACTAAGCCCCAGTATAAAGGAGTTTACTTTATTTATGTCTCTTACTTCAGGCACCTATATTTGAAAATTTGGCCAATAAAGACAATTTATAGCAAATAAAAAAACCTAAGAACCTAAAAAAGACTTAAGAAAATAAAACATACTACTGAATCTTTGTAAGGTTAATGTAATTCTCTGAGAAGCAGCACTTACATTCTATTGCAATGTTATTTATAAGCTGAATGACTGATTAGTGTAGAAAGGTCTCTAGAATTTTCCAGAGCTGAGCCAGATTCTCTGCTTTGACCCAGTTCCCTTTGTGCTGCAGGCTGCATCTCTCCTGTAGGCACAGAGCTGAAGCAGTCCATTCCTACATCAGTTGTGCTCTTGCAGCCCCTGGCACAAATTGTACGGTGGGGCACAGTTTCAGCATGGTGCACTCTGCTAATTCACAGTTGATGTACAATTCCCTAGGGATTATAGCCAGGTAGCATAGGTTACAGCAGTTTTCACACTGCTCGGCTGCGTCTAGACTGGCATGATTTTGCGGAAATACTTTTAGCAGAAAAGTTTTTCCATTAAAAGCATTAGTGGAAAAGAGCGTCTAGATTGGCACGGACGCTTTTGCGCAAAAGCACTTTTTGCGGAAAAGCGTCTGTGCCAATCTAGACGCGGTTTTGAGCAAGAAAGCCCTGATCGCCATTTTCGCCATCGGGGCTTTTTTGCACAAAACAGTTTTTAGCTGTCTACACTGTCCCACTTGCGCAAAAACATTTCCAGAAAAGGGCTTTTGCCCGAACGGGAACATCAAAGCATTTGCGCAGGAAGCACTGATTTCAGACAGTAGAATGTCAGTGCTTTTGTGCAAAATCAAGCGGCCAATGTAGACAGCTGGCAAGTTTTTGCGCAAAAGCAGCTGCTTTTGCGGAAAAACTTGCCAGTCTAGATGCAGCCCTCTAGTCTGGAAAACAACACCTAGACCCAAAGAGCTGGGGGAGCTATAACTGGCTACTTAAAAGCTCTACTGCCAATGTCTCTGGCATCAAACAGATCTTGGTACAGTAGTGACTCCAGACCATTATTATTACATCATTAACCAAATCAATATACCAAAACAACAAACACAGCTTGCTATGGATAAAAAGCTCAAACAGCTACCTAAAATCACTTACTACTGAAGGGTGATGATGGAATTTATGGGAAATCACTAATAACTGGGAAGAAGGGGAAGAGAGAGAAGGAAGAAAAAGCAATGACTGGTTTCCCTGCTCAAGACTATGCTGCTCTGAGCGGGAAACTAGAATCATAGACTCACAGAATACTAGGACTGAAAGGGACCTCGAGAGGTCATCGAGTCCAGTCCCCTGCCCCCATGGCATGATCAAATACTGTCTAGCCCATCCCTGATAGACATTTATCTAATCTACTCTTAAATATCTCCAGAGACAGGGATTCCACAACCTCCCTGGGCAATTTATTCCAGTGTTTAACTACCCTGACAGTTAGAAACTTTTTCCTAATGTCCAACCTAAACCTCCTTTGCTGCAGTTTAAGCCCATTGCTTCTTGTTCTATCCTCAGAGGCCAAGATGAACAACTTTTCTCCCTCCTCCTTATGACACCCTTTTAGATACCTGAAAACGGCTATCATGTCCTCCCTCAGTCTTCTCAACAAACCCAATTCTTTCAGCCTTCTTTCATAGGTCATGTTCTCTAGACCTTTAATCATTCTCGTTGCTCTTCTCTAGACTCTTTCCAATTTCTCCACGTCTTTCTTGAAATGCGGTGCCCAGAACTGGACACAATACTCCAACTGAGGCCTAACCAGCGCAGAGTAGAGCGGAAGAATGACTTCTCGTGTCTTGCTCACAACACACCTGTTCATGCATCCCAGAATCATGTTTGCTTTTTTTGCAACAGCATCACACTGCTGACTCATATTCAACTTGTGGTCCACTATAACCCCTAGATTCCTTTCTGCCGTACTCCTTCCTAGACGGTCGCTTCCCATTCTGTATGTGTGAAACAGATTGTTCCTTCCTAAGTGGAGCACTTTGCATTTGTCTTTATTAAACTTCATCCTGTTTACCTCAGACCATTTCTCCAATTTGTCCAGATCACTTTGAATTATGACCCTATCCTCCAGAGCAGTCGCAACCCCTCCCAGCTTGGTATCATCTGCCTAATCTAACTAGATTAAATATGTTTCTGTCTTCCTCACTGATACATGACTGTTGGCTCTAATTTGCGCCATTAGCTCCTTACAACCAATCATTAGTCAGAAATTTGTCTGCATCATGACAATTGTTGCTTAAACATAAAATATAGAAAATGAAATGAAGTGTCAATTAAGATATAATTCCCTTTCTAAACCACTTTACAGATACAGAAGAAAACACGCTCAAATTAAAAAATGTGAGTAAACCTCTGACAGCCTGCATTAAAACAATCTGTCAAGCTTTTAAACTGTGAGGGCACAAATTATATCTTAGTATATGTCTGAGCAACACATAGCTCTATACGCCTCAAAGCTGAGAAAGGTGCTAATGCAAGATAAACGGTAATAAATAAGCTCTTCTGTCTTTTCTAAATATATTCCCTTTCCTTATCAAAACAGCCAAACCCACTGAACAAAGGATTATTCTCCCAACATCTAAATGAATGAGGTAGGATTTTCATAAGCTTTTTGTCATTTCCTTTGCAAAGCTTTACTCTTTGGAATAGAAATAAGTCTTCTGTAGTTTATCTTTCTCTCAATAGTTTATCTTTATTGCTTTTATTATAAAACCTTCTGTAAGGGAACATATATACCACATTGATCTATAAAGTGCTTTGGAATCCTCCTGGATAAAGTATGATATTTAAATACACATCAATGCTATATTTATGACATTTTATTCCATTTATTTATTCTGCAAACTATTTCATTTTATGGCACTTAAGGATTTTTTGGCAGAATTATTTTTACTCCTGCTTGCACCTTTCACAAGGAAAGGTTTCAATTATACGAGGTACATTATTTTTCATTAAGATTATATTGTGTATGTAAATCAACTAAAAATCTGGAAATCCTGGACACCCGATCATCATAGGCATTGGCAATCTAATAGCAGGATTCTCTGGCTATGTGGACTCTCTTCAGACCCTACGCTACCTTGTATCTATTTTCAAGACACCACTGACTTCCTGAGGAAATGACAATGCCTTGAGTACTGGTTCCCAACCTTTTGGGGCTGCAGGGCGCCCGGGGCCACTCACGCGCCGGGGGAGGGCTGCCGCACATGCACCCAGGCCACCCACACGCCGCATGCCCGGTGCCGGCGCCATCCATGCGCCGCACTCCCGGCGCCGGCGCCGCTCCTGTACCGCATGCCCAGGAGTGGGGCTGCCCATACACCAGGCGCCCGGGGCCAGCGCCGCTCCTGTGCAGCGCGCCCGGGGCCGGAACAGCCCATGAGTTGCATGCCGGGAACCAACCCCAATCCTGTCCCG